ACGGATAGGGGGGGATAGGGGAGGGGGGTTTCCATAGCAACTTCTGCATACAGCACGTTCTGAGAGAGCTGAAGAAAAGGCAGAACTGAAAAGGTGAAATTTCATTTTTTTGAGATTCTTTTTGTGAATTAAATCAAATGAACATGTTTTGTATAGCCCACAGATGGATCCTAACTTGTGCTAAGACCCCCATAATAGGTCCACTTTAAATAAAAAATCACTTAAGTGCAAGAATCTATTGCCAAAATAGACACTTTTATCTAATGTACATATTAAAGATTAACTGTACTCTCTTATAACCCCATATGCACATTAAGTAAACACCTCTTTTGTTATAGCATCTAGAAATTAACATATGCAGAGATTTTAAACAATCAATAAGGTAGTTCTGAACATTGTACCTGAACCATGGACTCTGTGAGAACCTTCTCATCGACTTGAAAGATGGCGTTTTTAATCTGTTCGTACGGGAGACGAAACGACCCCAGGAAAATGGCTGTGTGAGGAAAACACAATTACCAACAGGCCTTACTTCAAAATGCCTTTCACTCGACTGCTTTAGCTCATTCACTCAAATTGTAACATTTCCGGTGTGATGCTCTGTCAGCTGGACTTACAGAGGTTCTGAGAAGACTTGGCATCAAGAACCTTCAGTTCCTTCACCTTCTTCTTCTGCACTTGTTTATCCTCCCCACCTTCCGGCTCTTTTTTAGCTGGAGAGAAAGACAGAGGGGGATTATTCCTCAATATTTTTCTAAATATGGGAAACTTAAATGCAAATAATAGAAAACCAGTAATGAAAGCAGTGGTGTTGGCAATATAAAAAAGTGGATCAGAAGAATGGCTAGATGGCCCATGTGATGTATATAGAAACTGACAGCAGTGGCAGKGCTTTCCTTTTTCTCACTCTCCCCCAACTGTATTATATCAAGAAGGTGTTGGATTTTTTTTCTCAGCAGCCTTGGGTGAAACTGAACATAAAATGCCTGTAAAACTAGGGGTAATGCCTGGTGACTTTGGGCTTTTGAAATATGGCCAGACATTTGTTAACTGAAGGGCATTTTGAAACAGAATGTTWGCACAAACACACACAGACACACACAGTAGAAAGAAATATTTGAGATAAATTTGCTTTGACAAGGTCAGGGTTGTGACTGTAAGGATGTGTCAGGGTGTGGGGGTGGATGTGAACAAGATGAGAATTAGGAGTGAAGGATGAGCAGACACGCGGGATTGACCATCTAACAGCTTGATGTATCGAGGCGCAGCAGATCTAAGGTCAGCAGAAGTCAAAATGTCACATCTGTTCTGTTTTATGTCAGTATTATTTAACCCTCCAGAGGATTACCTGGAGGTCACAATTAAACAATAAATGTCAATTCCAAAACTGACWATTCCTCAAACTGACTGGAATCAGAACGGTCTCAGGCACCTTATCTTTTTGTTGACCTCTTACTTTGACTTCAGTCTCTGATTGAAGTTTTATCTTATAGTAGGACTTTTATCAGCCTCTTCACAACCTTGTTTTTCTCTTATCTTTGCAGGGAAAATAAAAAAAACCAGAAAAACAGGAGAAACTGTTTAGATAAAAGCCAACAACAATGTAGGTGCAGCATGTTTTAACAATTTGGTCAAAATATTTCTGTAGTTAAAGGCATTCCTTCAAGGAATGCTGCTTTTCATGCCAGAGTTTTATACAAAGATCATCTTAAATAGAGAAGGGAGGGAGTTGCGGCCATTAAGGTCAACGCTTTAAATTATGCACAACTGTGCGTGAAATCTCACAAAATGTGTTGTTTCTCAGTGTAAGTTTAGGAATARCTCAGGAATACATCAAATTTGAGCTCAATATTACAAATGTGTCCGACTTATAACCATTTGTGTGTTGGCTATGAATGAAATTAGCTGTGGCTAGAATTTTGAAATACAATGACCACAAACAAAGGTTAATGMGTTGTTGATGAACATCCAATGAYTACTTTCTGAAAKTTTCATTACAATCCATCCAGTGGTTTATGAGATATTTAGCGAACACAGCTGACTGCATTAGTTATTGAYCAAGTTTTAAAATCAGATATCAGGCAATCATTTATAGCTTGAAGAATAAGTTGTRCATGACTCYCAGCTACTAACACACCAAGTTTTTTAATCAAAATCTGTAAACTTTACTGAGTTAGTTATTGTTGTGTTCTCTAAGGTTGCTTAGCTTTGGCAGCCATCTAGAATGGGACAAACTCCAAAAGTCAATTAACTGCAGATGTACATCTAATGATTATATTTGAAGAGCATCAATAAAATTCTTCTGGTCGTTATTTTGCAGACAAACACGCACATGAGCAAAAACATTACTGCCCTTTCACCTTTAGCAGCAGGTGATAATTGTAGGGTTACTATTAAACAGATGTCAACAGGGATGGTTAATCTGGACTACAACTTCTGTAAGGTTTGTAAAATAAGTTGCAGAGACAAACCTCTACACTTAACTCCCAATGCTGGCAACTATTATTGATTTGATTAGTTTTTACGCCTTTGTGTTCAGTTTCTTGAACTGCCCTGCTTCTCTATAATGGGGGATGTTAGACTAGTCACAAACAATCTCATTCAAACAAGAACAGTGCAAGCATTCAGCAAGGACTGATAATTACAACAGCAGAACAACTTATCCATTCATCCATATGTCCAGTCAAATGGTGCTTTGTCTCGAGGAGAGACGGCAGTCTGCTGGACAGTTTGTTAATTACCAAGGCTTCTAATGAGAAAAGGCATCGCTTCATTTAGTCACACACACACTGACACACACAAGTCTGTCAATACACTGTGGAAATAAGATGCATTGTTTTGCTCAATGACAGCTTCAGCTTTAGAAAACTCATCACCCAAAATCAATCAAAGCTCATTTCCACTGTTTTCCATAAAGTTTGGATTGTTTAAAGTTAACTGTGCTCCTCATTACCAGAACAAGCTCTATTGTGTTTCCAACACTTTGTTCATAATCCCTGTGGAGCAGGAAACCAAAGCAGGAAGGCAGCCCTGACAAACACACCGGATAGGAAAACCTATCAGGGATCTGAGCGGAAGCAACATAAACATCTTTACACAAACACATGATCACATTTAGTCACAGCTGCAGGGCTAAAAATGAAGGAAGTGACATCATTCAACAACAACAACTAATAATAATAATAATAATAATAATAATAATAAACATCTTTACACAAACACATGATCACATTTAGTCACAGCTGCAGGGCTAAAAATGAAGGAAGTGACATCATTC